AAGACCTTGCCTGCATTGCCCTGCTTCAAAAGGGCAGATCCTGGACACTGCTTTTTATAGCAACAAAAATCATTTGTTTTCAGTGATAAAAATACATTATCTATATTCATGAAATCATAAATTTTAAGAGCAAAAGGGACCATTACATTCTTCTAGCCTGAGGCATTGATAGATTTACTGCACAGAAGCTAATGGACTAGACCACAGTCCCTTTGAAATGATGGGAGAGAATTGGTGCAGCTCTTTATCCTCCCTCCTCATCACCATTATGAGGGTAACCACCTCAGAGCTCTCTTGTCTAGCACAGACCCTGCCTCTAGTCCAACTTGATAGAATATGTATTTAAACACAACATTTTGGCAAAAGCTAGACTGCTTTCTCAAGTACTCAAAGGTCAGCACACCCACATCACCCCAGAGCATCTCTAACGTCTCTCACTGACCCAGTTTGGTCTCCCAGCAGCAGCAGCAGACACTACAAAACAACAGTAGCTGCTGTCCCTGCGCTCATACTTTATCCTTTACCTGTCCAGTTCTCTCATCAGGATGTGAAGCGCCTGGCCTCTGGGACCCAGCTTATCGCCTCATAAAGCAGGATGGCAGGATTATTAATACGGCAAAACTGCAGGATTTTGCCAAGAAATTTATGAGTTACGATGGCAGTTCATTAGCTCTCAGCCCAATGACCCCTTTCTACTGAGCACGAATCAAGCAAGAGGCACACACACATCTAAAAGCACGATGGATATTCTCATCAAAAATACATCCAAGCCCACATTTCCTCCATTTTGTCCAACATAGGTCTAACAAAGGCATTGAAAAGCCACCAATTAACAGGACCTAGCTAACCCTCTGAAACACACCTAGACACAAAGAAATTCACAATCCCCATTTTTCTTTCTTTCTTTTTTTTTCTCATCAGGCCATTTTCAAGTGATGCTGTATTTAAAGAACAGCAAGTACTTAGCAGAGAGTTTACATTTACAGCCACCACTGACTGCACAAGGGAGGCAGGTCTGGCGATCAGGACAGTAAGCACTCTGAATTGCTCCCTCAACTTTCGGTGCTAAGAATAAGGTTTCTCTTTACACACAGACAAGCCCCTCATCCCCACTCAACGAAGCATTTGAGAAAATATTTAACTTTCATGGTATTTATGCATGGTATTAAAATAAAGCACACACTTAAACACTTCCTTGAATCCAAGTGGCATTTTTGCACGTGAAAAAAATCAGCAGGTTTTAATACATTGATGGGTTAGGACTTCAGCAGAGGCCAAAAAAACAAGTCTAGTGTACTAGAGAGGAAAGAGATCTAGAGAATTAAGGAGAGTCTTTGAAGGTAATAAGTGGACAATTAAGTAAAAAAGAAAAGGTTGGCACCACAGTAACTTTTGCCAGCAAGTACAAAACCACTAGCAAGGCACCCACAGATACTACAAATACAATGCTTTATACCAAAGAAAGACAGAGAGACAGAAAAAAAGACTTCTATTAAGTCTTTATTGCACTATTGTTCTCAGTTGCCTTAACACTCTTTTATTTGCTGTTACTCTCTAAAACTTTCAGGGTATTTTAAAGAAAAGGCAGAGCTATTTTGTTTTTCTAATCCCCCTCTAGTTAGAGCTGCCCACACTCAGAAAGCAAACGCATGTGTTATGTGCTTTCCCAGACTTAATTTGCCTTTTCCTTAAAAAAAAAAAAAATCTATTAATGCGGTAATGGGACCCACATACTGGAAAACCCCTCCTTCCACACCATCCCATTAGCTACACCTGGCTCTAGGCCAAAATTTAGTATTTCAGCTCCTGCCAAGATTCAGGTTTGGAATGTTTTCACATTGGAGGATTTTTCATCTGTTTCTTTGGCTGGGCTAATGGGACCCTAATGCACACAAGAGATCGCTATCACATCGGGCTGCTGGTTACTTGCTTGATTCAATCATCTTGTACATACATGCTAACTTGTAGCATTTCCCTCTCAGCTAACTGATGCCAACAGGCATTTAAAGTAAGATGCAGGGGGATATAACATGATAGGGAGAACTGCTGACTTGAGACACTCCCACTGGCTGGAGTAATTACAACAAATTATTACAAAAAATACAGCTGGGCAAAAGGTTAGATGACACCTTTAGTTAAAACCAATTCACCAACAAAACTGTGGATGTCTGGCGGGAATTCTCATGTCCAATAAAACATAAGGCTGGAGCAGTGAACCTCCAAAAAATTTGGACATGCTTAAAGAAAAGCTGCTGCTTCATGCATTTACCTCTTGGAGATCCAGAATATGGCTTAGCTCCTGTTGTCAAGCCAGAGAACAGACTGTATGTGCTGATCTGAAAAACACTTGCAGATGTTCACCTGCCAGGACTGGGAGATAAGTTGCCTCACTAGCTCTTCACTAGTCATTGGTCTACACAGCCAGCACCAGCATTAATGCCTGTCACAAAGGCCATGTCAGCAAAAGGGCCATGATTTCTGCTCACATGAGTTTTCAATCAGTACTACCTTTTGTCACCTCATAAATTACTCCCTCAACCGAGTCTTTCATGAATTCCTAACAGAAGATGACATATTCTTCTCTTTCCAGCCCTCCCTATGCTTTAGCACCAAGAGCAGAGTCCCTACAATCCCCATAATTACTAAAGTTTCTCACATGGGAAAGGTCTGCATGAAAACCCTCCTACATATGCTTCCACATTCACTAATATGCTTGCTCTCACCACCTCTTCTGAAGCAGCACAGTGGGTTGGTAACACTGGCCAAGAACATACTGCAATTTTTCTCACAGGTCAGACCAATGACAATGGTCTCAGAGAGTGATAAAGTTACCTATGTCAAACAGCAACAAGAAATGCTTGAAGTGATGCTCAGAGAAACCTATTCTGTACACCACATTTCCCAAGCTTATGCAAGGATCACCCCTTGTCTTTCACTGCTCTCCAATGAATAACAGCAAAGCTGCATCCTACGCTCCAGTAATCAAGTATTTCCAATCGGAAGAGCTGGGAAACAGGGATATATGTATCTAGATATAGGTCACAGGAAAGTGTGGTCACGTTTGTCAGTCAAAGCCTGTTCCCTTTCACTCCCATATGCTTTGTGAAAGTAGGAAAACACCATACCAGGAGCAATAATGCCTGCAGCATTATGGAAACCTGAAACAGGGACATCCAACAGGAGGCTTTCTACACTGCAATTGTTCTCTAAACCATAAGAATATCAAATTGCCATTTGTTTTTAAAGAATGACAGGATTTACTTCTGTCCAGCACAAGCACACGGGACTGGAATTTGATTTCTTGTTTATTTGATTTTCACATTTTTAAGGATTTTGCTCTTTAAGAGGAGAAATAGATGTCTAGTGATCACAAAATCCAGCTTAGAGACATGTCTGAGATCATGGTTTTGAAAAGGAGCCATGGCTACTTTCAAAGGATGAGGCAGATTTCACCCACTAAAAAGCAAATCATGCCATTTTGTGCTTTCAACCATAATTCATTTCCTGGTGCAGTTAAGCTATGACTAGAAAAGTCAAGGTTAGATTAAGAGATCATTACTGCCTTTTGTGGTGGACTTTGAGACTGGACCACAATGCCAGAATAAAGCTGCGGAGGCCTTTGAAGGAGATATTCTCTTGGAAATACATCCCGGGGCTCTGTTTTGTCCCTGGATTTCTGAGTTATGGAGCTCCTATTTTGCTGCATTGCCTTCATTTCTGTCAATCCCTATGAAGATCAGCTTCTCTCTGGTCTCTTTATGAGATTTTTTTATATTTTTTTATATAAAGATATCACCTTCCTGGCTAGAAAATTCACAGGGCTTTGCATGGGTAGCCTTGCTACTTCTTGCTACAGCATTTCAACCAAAACCCAGAGAAACTAAGAAAAAATAATAACCAAACAAACATTAACCTTCCTGCCACTCCTGCCAAATGAAACAACAGCCAGACAGAAACTCAGAGCCTGATGCTCCTGCATCAATCCTCTGCTCTTCAAGGTGCTGTATATTCGCCATGCTATAGCAACTATACAAAATGCTACAGTAACTCCATCTCAAATACTGTCTACCAGATTCAGCATCCTGCAGTTACACACAGAGACTGTCCCACAGACCTGTTGCTGTCTGAGGACACAGCCAGCACCTCCTCTACTACATGCCCCCCCATCTGCTCAGCAGACTCAAAATAGCACCAGAATTTCCTTTTCCAGAGTTATGTAGAAAGGGACAGAGAGACTGCACTGATCCTAGCAACCACTATATAAGCAAAACCCTGAAGCAAATATTTTCAAAAGTATCAGATGCAAATGACCAAAATGTCATCACTGGAAGAAAAAGCAGACCTGATGTTGTTTTCATACCACAGAGCTCACACAGGAACAATTTTTTCTCTGTTGCAAAATAAGATGACTAGTCAGGTAGGAGTCTGGTCAACACTGTGACTAAAGCTCCTGACTGAGAGTTCAACTCTTTATTTTTTCCAAATAATAGTATTTTGTTAGGAAAATTTTGCAGTGTTCACCTGAAGATTTTGGGAGTGATTTTCTACTAATGCCGTGGATAAGTATGGATTGGCGATTGTCATATTCTGCCATTCAAAATGTAATACAGAATAAAATAATAAGGATCCTATTGATAACCACAACTTCACTGCAGTCTGATGAAACAGCAGGATGCTGACATTCAGGATCTAAGCATCCACTGCATGGACTGATTTCACCACCACGTTCTCCTGCCTTGCAGAGGCAGTGTTGAATGGGTTAACAAAATATCATTTCTGTGTTTTCTGCTTCTTCTATCAAGCCAATAAGTAGAAAAAGAGACAGATTTAAACCACTCAGGTAATCCACAGAGCTTTCCCTTGTTGACCAAAGAATCACCAGAAGCCAGCTGGAAGTTCAGTTTTTATGTATGATTACAAGTCCTGTTGTTCTTCACACACCACTGTTCATAAAACACATACCCCAGTGAGAGTTAAAGTAAGAGAATTTCATGGCTCACCACAGGTGTAGATGACATTAAGATGCTTTCGGATGCCTGGGTAACAAGGATCTCCAAATTCATAGGTGCTGGCATATATGCTGCATCTTCTTTTCCCATGACAGCGCTTGATCATGAGCTGGAGAGCAGTAGCCGACTGACACTCTAAAAGGGAAAAGGGATACCTATTTGTGAGTATTTTTTCATTCACATCAGAAATTGCCTAAAAACATTTACCAGACTCAGACTGTGAGAGCACAAACATACGAGTTTTCATGAGTATTGAAAAATCTTTGTGTTTACATGGGAAGGTATATCTGATTCTGAAACACCTCTAATAAACTGTAAATTGGTGAAAGAAAATTAGCAAAAAGAACAGCGAAGAATCAGAAACCCCCATACAACGGCATAAAGAAGGCAATAAATAAAAGATAGCTTGTTTTCAAAGGGAAAGGGCTACTCGTAATAAAACTATTTCCTTCTCACCTAGCATTTATTCTATAAAAATCTGAAAGGACTCTAAGACAGCTATCAGGATCTTCATTTTAACAGATGGAAAAAAAAGTCATAGAGAAGTAAAAAGATTAACAACAGCAGATCACTTCAAAGGATCAAAAAATAAAAGACTCAGACATGGGGGAAGCTTCCAGCAGCTTTTCACGGAAACCACACATATAGCCCTCCCACTACCAAAGCCTTGCCACACAAACCCAATGCAGCTTGTTTCATTTTAAGGGGAAGAGATAGGGAGAGTTTGAATAGGCTTGTTTAGCCTTTGTTACATGCAGGAGAATTGTCTCAAGTCACCATCTCTTGCCCCCATCTTCAGACAGACATGATCGTGTTATGGTCTACTCTTAGAAGATGTATTTCTAAGAAGGACAATGAGAATTGAATAACTATGTTACCGTCTACCATCTTAAGTAGAAATATTCTGTGAAGTGTGTTTATTTGATGAAAGTAGGAATGTTTCTCATATCAGGACTTTAGAATATGGAAAGCTCTAAAAGTAAATGTTTTGCCAAGTACTGTTTTCTATCAGATGGCTTGTGCCTGTTTTCTCAACTAAGGTGAAAATGATTTGTACAGACTAGCTCTCAAGCTTTTAGATGCTAAACTGATAGCTTGCTTTCACTGTTTAGCATGGGCCAAGCAGAAGGGAAAGCTAGAATGACAAGACATTCCTTCAGTATTAAGCTGTTGCTAAAAGCAATGAGAAAGATATAGATAAGGGACTATAAACCCCTTTTGGTCACTGATCAGAAGGCAGGGAAAGGGAAAATGAACCCAAAAAAGTATTGCATGGTAGAACCAGCAGAAGAGCAAAAGCTATGAGAGAGACAGGAAAGCCACAGAAAACTAAGCCTAGAGGGTTTTTTTCTCAAATCAAAGGCAGCATTTTATTTCATATGCTGCAAATGACAAAACAGGGCCCCATGTGAGCATTTTCATAGTGAACCACCAAAACTTCCTTAGGGTATTTTTGATCCAAGTGTCAAGAGGTTCCAGTGGAAACATCTGGCACACAGCAATCCTGATTTATTGTCTTTTTGTCAAATGTCCAGTTAAAGAAACTCATGAATTCTAAGCACTGCACAAGATTTCATAGAGGGCACCTATTCTTTTGTTTGCTATTGTTTGCACTCCATAATAACAAATTGCCTTGGCCGCCAGCACAGGAGCACACTGCCTCTGCCTGAGAGTGGGGAATTGCCCATTACTGGTCCTGTGATAGGCACAGCAAGTCTTCTGTATATGTCATTACCAGAGATAGTCAGCCTCCCTTTGTAGGAATGAGTGGTAACAAAGTACAGACTCTGCCCTCCACCTTAACTGGTGGTACCGGACTCACTCTTCAGGTGCCAGATCTGTAGATTCAGCACATTTAAAATGTGTCCAGGGGTTTTATCTGTCCTATACTCTCACACTAACCTCACCAGCTTTGTTAACCGTCATTAGTCATGTTTGGGTATTGATGGCATCCCTCCTTCCATGCAGATGTGAGCAGGCTGCAGTCTCCATCATCTGCACTAGGAAAACAAACAGGGCTCAGATCCAGATACACCATTATCCCCCTTGCTTAAGTGCTACCCTACTCCTTAGCAAGATTACGTGATTATCCCAAACAGGTAATATAGTCTGAGACGTAACAGAGCTAGACCCAATCATTAATATGTAGAAGTCCTACTTCCTGACAGATATTTTGGATAGAAAGTATAGGAGCAGGAGTACATGGTAGAGGGTTTAGATGCACGGACATGAGGTCGGCCAGCCACAGGGCCAGGCAGTAGGCTCTTTCTCACTGTATTCAGTAAAAAGTAGATGATGTGTTTGTTAATAGGTGAGCACAATTCTGACGCTACCTTTATCAGGTAGTTATTTTCTCTAGCAGAGGATAGCCTTGCCCATGATACTGATTAAAAAATCATGCCATACTGCCTCCAGGCAGCTGTGAGACCCTGCTCTAGCCCATTCACCGTCCCCACTACCAATACAGATGTAACTTGAGATATAAGAGTTTCTTCCACATAACCCTTGATACCTAGCATCTTCTGTGTAGCTCCATAGCTTCTTCTGTAGCTCTGCCACAGAAGGTCCTAACATTGCAGTCCCTACTTGCATTTTAACAGTGCCCATGTCTAGTCAACACTGTTTGGCTACGTGTCCACTGGTAAATGAAAATTTACCCTGGTCCTGAGGCCAGCTGTGCTGGAACAACCCACAGCCATGCTATTTAAACACTCTTACCCTCCAAAACAGAGTGATGTCACCCAGTCCCTCTCCTCTAACTAACCTCAAACTGTCTTCTGGACTGCCTAGGAGAGTGTTAGCTGGGCCAAGGCAACAAACCATGCCATGGACCATGCTGCAGTTTAACAGTACAAAAGATCCATTTCCAGTATCTGTGCCCAGGCCATGGTACTGCTAGCATAAATGTAGCCCTAGACACCCAGATTTTTCAGGCATAGACCAGGCCTCCATGTTCACAAATACCAGCAGTGAAATCCTCAGTTCTCCAGCTCAACCTGCACTAGCCAAAATGAGCAGAAAAGCAGAAAACAGTCTCTATAGTTCAATTACAGATGGGGATGAAATACCCTAGCATAAATATTAAGGCACCAAGATTTTAAAAGCCTCTTTTATGTGGACTTTTTGTAAAACTTAACATTGAAAATATAACCAGGAAAAAAATCACCTGTTGGGACTGCAGCATATAAAGCATACAATAATTTAGTTGGAAGCAATATCTGGATTCTACCCAGTCCAACCTCCTCCTCAAAGCACATCCAGCTTTGATGTTATGTCAGGTTGTGCAGGAATTTGCTCAGGCAAGATTTGCTCCACAGATAAATATTCCCCAACTCCTTGGGCACCTGTTCCAGGGCTAAACCACTCTCCAGGTGAATAATTTTTTCCTTGCATCTAATCAGATTTCCACTGCTGCAACTTGTGTTTATTGCTTTTGGTGTTTGATTGTTTTTCCTGTGTGTTTCCAGAACATTTTTCCATAGAGCCACGTATTTGCTAGTAGAAAACAGAAAGAGCTTTCTCTTCTTGTGACTGAACCAACCTGGGTCTCTCAGTATCTCCCCATACGCTGTGTGCTCCAGCACCTTGACCAGCTTGGTGGCTCTTCACTGGACTTACTTCGGTTTTTCAACATATCTCTTGATCAGGGAAGCCGCAAACTGGACATTCCAGTTAAGCAGAGTACCAGAATGTCAAATAGAGTTCATAACCCTCTCCTTGATGTGCTTACAATATTCTTACTAGTAAAGTCCAGTACCCACTTAGCCACCATTGCTGTAAGTCCACACCCCTGACTCATGTTCAACTTCTTGTCCCCTAAAACCCAGTGGTCCTTTTTCTGCAGAGCTGCTTTCTAGCCAGCTGGTCCCTAGCCTATGCTGTTGCAGAAGGTTATTCAGGTGAAGAACTTTGTGCTTGCCTTTGTTGAACTTCACAACATTTCATAAGGTTTCACCAACTCACTGAGGCTCCTTGGGGTCCCTACCCCTGCTGTAACAACTCTCCTTTCCAATTTCGTACCTTCTACAAACTCTGTCCCATTATTCAGGTCATCATTGAAGATGTTAAGCAATATTGATCTCAGACTGCTTTTAAATGCCTGCCGGTTTGCCTTCAACAGAGCATTGTGGAGGTTTCTCATAGTAGTCCGTTTCCTTGGCTCCTGTAGCAAAAAGCTGCAAATTAGGCAAGTCTCTGCTGTTGCCACTGACCTCTAAACCATAACAAGCACCAAAACCTGGTGAATGCAGAAGTGTCAGAAAGTTATCTAAGGTATCCACGTTACAAGATCCAGCTAAACTCTACTGACTACATCAGAATCCCACATTGTAAATCCTAGTACTCTTCTCATTTTCCCCATGGTAAGGCCTGAGTCATTCTCTTTGCATCAGCCATATCCTTCCAGCCCTAATAAAAAAAGAAAAAAGAAATGGACTGTATGGACAAAATTTGACAAAGTATTCACTTCAAAGACTTCCCTTTCATTACAACAGGGAATTTTCTCTTTTTCCCCCCACTCACCCCCAATTTCTAAGCACAAATGCCTTGTGCATTCCCATAACCCCCAGGGCAAACAGCCAGCCATACTTTGAGGGAGAACTGCACCAATACTGAAATTAGCTTTGTCTCCCTTCTTGGTTATTTTTGATCTGTCAAAGTGTTCATTCTCCACCTAACACATTGAACTGTATTATGTGCAGTTTTGTGCAATCAAAACCTTCAAATGGGACCATCTCCCTTATACATTTTAAATGATTTGTAATAAGGAGGTCATTTAGCTGGATGCCAAAACATCATGTTCAAGCATCTTTATTCCCTCGCTAACTAGCACTGCAGATGTCAATAACACATCTGAGAGATGGCTGAGTGATAGATGAGAGTACAACACCCTCATAAATCACAGCCACCACCATGTCATTCAGAGCTCTAGAAGTGACAATGTGGTATTTTCTTTTACTCTCATGTCTCAGGAATATAAAAACACTCAACACCACTCCTGTTGGCTGTTATGAAGTACACGTAGGTAATTTAACTTCCAAATATAAACAAGTCCCTATGAAGCTGGGTTGAATTGAGATCTCCAAGTATATCCTTCAGGAGGCGATTCCAGGTCAGAAATCTTCACATCCACGTCC